TTTTTTTCAGTCCAGTTTTTCCACAGTATGCACATTTAAAATCAGTTTCCATAGTGACATCTGGTGGTAGTTTTGAAATCCTAGAGAGTATGTTTGGAATGATAAATATTTTTATTTAATAGCTCCAGATTTCTAGCTTCTTTCAAATTTTTCAGCTCCATTAACAACTTTTCCTGAAAATGTCTTCATTGTATTCCTGAGATTGGAAAGCTAGGCATTTTTCGCTTCCGTCATGTTTCATTAAAGCCAAGAAATGATCTCTTATAACATTGCTGGGTGGTGCATATATAACAGACTTGTCTAAACTTGTCTTCTGTGTTCAAAATATACAGCGTAGAATCACACAGCAGCATTCTTACCTTGTCTGCTGCTTGTGCGCTAAAACCTCTTGACAAGAAAGGTGTTATTTCTGCTTTAGCCATCTCACTGGCTTTTTCTTGTACAGCATTGATTGAGACTCTTTTCATCTGGCTGGAGGGAACCGTGGTAGCCCTGGGCTATCACTTGTTTCTCCCTCACAGCCTGGGCTTACGGATCATCTAGTTGCTTGCATGCTATTGTTGCTCTCCCAGAAAGTGGAAGAGGAAATAAAAAATGGGAGCAGAGATGGCAGAGAAAGAAAGGGAGCTGAGAGAGGGGGAGCTATTTGAAGACAGGAGGAGAACCACAGGAAGTTAGCGTATGGATATGTATATGTGCCGAATAAGATGCAGTATTATTGTGGGTATGTATTAAAGAGAAATAGCTTTAAAACTGGAGTTTAAGTATTTATAGTTTTGTTTGGTTCCTTAGAGAATTGTTTCAGGAAAAGTGAATTTATAACAAGTGTGCAAAAAAGTCGGAGTTACTGAAAGTTGGTTGGTAGAAGATCATGGATTGAGAGAAATGGGAGTGGGATGCAGTTTTGCGAGTGAACACAGTAGGTCGATTCACTTCCAGTGATGCCTAGGGGTCCTTAGTTGTTGTTTTCCTGTGTTAAAGGTACTAGTTAGAAGTCTTCATAATGGAATTTTGAAAATTTGTTTCTTTTTAATGAATTAAGGTAACGGAATGTACAGAAGAAATCCATCTGTACATGCTAGTTGTGGCTCTAGGAAGGACTGGGAAAAGAAGAGTGACAGGTGTAGGAATAAGGACTGAAAGAATAGACACTGCTCTGGCCAGGCTTCTAGGTAGTTGGTATGTTGGCCATCTCAGAAACTGGGACCCCCCGTAAGGAACGATCGGGATTCTGATGAGCCCTTGGTTAAGGAGGTGCCTTGCTCTAGATTCTCAACGTTCTGCCTGTTTAGCTTCTTAAAGTTGAGCAAATCATTTCAGCTCTTCTTAAAAACAAGTGAGTTGTACTTGAGGATTTCTAAAGGGTTGTCAGTCTCCAATTCTTGGTTTTGAAATGGCTAAGGCTTAGATCTACTAGTCTGTCTTCCCAGATTATCTAGACTGTTTCTAGCTGTTCCTGGACCTGTGGTCAGTTCTTCCTAGATTCAAAATGGGAGCTCAGTTCTGCCTGTTGCAAAAGTTTCTGCCTGGGGGTCTCGCAGGGATGTATCTTGTGACTGAGCAGACAGATTAAAAAGCAGAACACAAAATCCCTTTGCATAAGTATGGTCTTTTCCCACCTACTTTATGCTTTTAGAATAGTGCTTAGAATTAGAATCCGCAATTAAAATAGTGCTTAGGCACTAGCCCCTGAACCACTATGAAGTAGAGCCCTGGAATCGTTTCTTCTTTATTGTCCTTTAAATGTGGGGAAGACCCTTATCTCAGTAGTGGAAAACTGCTTGTAGCCTCTCATCATGGCAGCCCCCCACCCCGCTCCTTGGTCTCCAGCATCCTTGCTGCTGTGGAGTGTGTGACGATGATTCTGTTGCTAATGATGACAGTGTAGCCTGATGGTGAAGAGCCTAAGTTCTGGAGTCAGACTGTCTGATTCAAATCTCGATTCCACCACTTTATTGTTGACTGACCATGGCTGTGCCTCCTCATCACTGTAAGGCTTGGGCCGTTCGCTGACTTTATCTAAGCTTCTGTCTCCTCATTTGTGAAGCCACGATGAAAATCATGTGATTCCAGTGTTCTTTAAACGATTTAATGCATGTAAAGCACCTAGTGAAGTCCTTGACATACAGTAAGTCCTTGTATTATTAAATTATTATATATAAATACAGTAAATTTATTTGTATTATTATTTGAGCATTTTGGTTAGAAGAAGTTATTCAGTATGTCCTCCTTTCCCTTTGGCAGTTAAAAATTCACTTTATTTCTTAGTTATCTATAAGCTGTAGTAATTTTGTTCTTTTTATAAGAACGTAATAATTAAAGTACATCAAAACATGAACATCTTAGCAATCACTATATGAAATATATATAAAAATATACAGTTTAAGAATTCATGAAATATGAACATCACTTATGTATATTTAATTACTAATTAATACAATTCTAGTTTCTTCCATATTTGAGTAGAGCTACTTTGGAGTCTCACTTTGAACTGTTGGTAGTATCTGGAGATTACCTGGGACTTGGAAACTTTCCCTCCTGACCTGGCTCAGAGGTCATGCACAGAAGGGTGTGGCTACCCCCTCAGTTGCTAGGTTGATTGGGGGAGAGGGGCTCTTCCCAGCAGAAACATCCAGCCCATAACTGTACACTAGTCAGGACACAGACCAGACTCCAAGTGGAACTTGATGTAAAATAAATAACTGTTTTTGTCTGTGATTTAATTCTTATTATGTATTTGCATTTTCTACCTCTTTCTTTCCTTCCATCCTGACACTAAAAGAAGCTATTGTATGTGAATGTTCACTTAATAAACTCCTTCTGAATACTGACATGCAAAAAAATGGACAAAGTATGAGCTTTGACTTGTCTTTTCAGAGTTTTCATGTTAAATTTTGTTGACTGAACTTTTGTCATACTAACAGTAAGACAGATGGAATTTTGGTGGCCCTGCAGTCAGAGATTCCTAGTGTTTGAGCTCCAGCTCTGCCATTTACTATGGCCCTGGGAAAGTTCCTCATGACTCTTAATCTGAGTTTTTCATTCATGAAATGGGGATAATAACACCACATATATGGGCAGGTTGGATATAAGGAATGAATAAAATAATGCATGTAAGACAGTTATAGTACCTGACGTATCATAAAGACTGACAAAATTTTTTCCTAATTATTGTTATTAAATGCCTACAAGTGATGTTGAGAGGGACACAGTTTTTAAAAGTGGATAGCAGCATGAACTGTTGGAGGATTAGAACTCAAAAGAGGTGAATACAAGTACCACGTACCTGTCTTTAAATTTTCTAATAATACTTCACCTGCCAGATGAATTATGTTACATTTTAATGACATGGCAGAAACAAGAGAAGCATATGTACATTCATTTATTAATATGTAATCCTCTTAGAACTGTTCCCTGGCGTCCTTTGTATCGGTTGATGGGAGTGAGACAAAGAAAAACTGGAAAAGATTATTTTCACTTGGTTACTAAGGGCACACTCTTCTTTCAGGCTAAAACAAATATAATTTGGTGAACAGATTGAGTATGCATAGACTTATGTTCGGACCAGAGAAAAAGGAAAACGTGTTTGAGTTGTCTGCTGCATAGAGAGACCAGCTAGCTCCTTTTTTATTTAAGAGTTCTGAGGCTTTGTTCCATATTTCTAGGAGGAGATCCATTTTGAGGGTTTGCAAAGAAATAGTGAAGCAGTAGTTATAATGCTTCTGAATAGCAATACACATTCATTTTATGATAATCTATTTCACATTATAATATTTAGGTTTGCTGTTTGTAAGTTGTAAACCTTTTGGGGAGTGTTAGATATAATTATCTAACATTCAAAATAAATGAGGTTTTTCTGTGATATTAACCTCAAATAAGCAAATATTTAAATTTACATGATCAAGAAATATAGATGTATATATTTAGTTGAGATAAATACTGTTTCATTTTTGAGCACAGGTTAAATTGATATTTGTTATTTTTCCCATAGTATTTTGCGTTAAATGGGAAGCTTCAGTGATTTTAAAGTTGTAGGATTTCCATAGTTCAACCTGGATCATGTTGAACCCTAAAAATAGCGTTAATTCAGAATGATTATTGCACAAGAAAAAAATCCAGTGATGTATTTTGGGAGAGCCAAAGGACAAGTTTACACCATTGAATAAAAAGGTGGGATTTGCCCAAGAGAAATGGATATTTCCGCTGTTAATCATCCTGAGAATAGGTTAATCTTGAGATTAAATAAGATTTCGCGTGGTTTCAGTGGCTGGGCCAAAACATTACAGACATTCTAACTTTTTTGTAATTTTATAATTCCATCTCTTACTAGTTGACTTAATGAGAAATGTGTCCTAGTTTGGATCCCATTTGAGGACTTTTTTGTATCAACTCCAGTTAATATATCCATTCATTTTTGTTCATTCATTTAATAAATAATTATTGGGCTTTGGGTAATGTGCTGGGTAAACTGGCATTTAGAAGGATGTGGTCTCTGCTCCTGTGGAGCTTATAATGTGGTAGGAAAATTTATATTTTTTGCATCCTGGTTGTCTTGCCATTTGCTTAAGGTGATTAAAAGAAACTGACGGATTTCAGGACACAAGAGACCATATTTGCCCATTCATTTCTTTGGGTTGTTTTGAGACTTAAATAAGATAATAGTTGTAAAGTGCCCCACATGGTGCCTGGCACCTAATACTAATAATGACAAATACTTTTATAACCAATATTACGTGCCAAGTGCTATATTCTAATCATTATATGTGTTAGTTCATTTCATCAACCTAGGAACACACTACTCTTATTACTCCATTTTATAGGAAAGGAAACTGAGGCACAGAGAGATTAGACAATTGGCTTAAGATCGCACCGCTGTGACACAGAAGCCTTCCGTAAGGCTTAAGGCATAAGAGTTGTCATTTAGGCTGATGCTTTCTCAGAGTGACTGTTGGCGGTGATGGTTGACAGGCTACTTCATGCTTCTCTTCTTCCTCCTCTAGGTGTTATAGAGACTTCAGGTCGACTGGACCGCGAGTCCACTTCCCATTACTGGCTGACAGTCTACGCATCTGATCAGGGCGTCGTGCCCCTTTCCTCCTTTGTAGAGGTCTATATAGAGCTGGAGGATGTGAACGACAATGCACCGCAGACTTCAGAGCCTGTTTATTATCCGGAAATAATGGAAAACTCTCCCAAGGATGTGTCTGTGGTCCAGATTGAGGCATTTGATCCAGATTCTAGCTCTGATGACAAGCTGACATACAAAATTACAAGCGGAAATCCACAAGGATTTTTTTCAATAAATCCTAAGACAGGTATGTGTTAATATTATGTAGGAAATATTCATGCTTATATGCTCTTGATATGGGGAAATTTAAGAATTGTTTCTTTATTTGCCACTTTTATTTAGTTTTTGATAAATCGTTTCCCTTTTGAGTTATTCAAGACAGGCTTTTATTCCCTTATGAAAATTTTATCCCCAGTTTTTTTTTCCTTTGAATTTGCTTTTATAAAACTATTTTTCTCATTAGTAGAGTTTCACTTGCAGGTTAAAAAGCAAATATTGTAGTTTCATTAATAGTTCCTAAATTAGTGATACATTTTAAACTTAACCGCAAATTCTACTGCTGCTAAATTTTCCAAACTCTACTTTTTATGAAAAATATCAAGAGTTTATTTCACAATTCACAGTAGTTTTTTTTTTTTTTTTTTTTAATGTTGTTTTGGAATTTTTCCTTAGAGCAGTGCTATGTCTCTTTAGGCAGTAGAGGATCCGGATTAAATAATTTTCAGTTTGGGAGCAGTTACTTTCTTGAACTCATACCTCAAGTTTTCCTTCTAACTGTTTTCTCCTCTCAATGTCTGACACCCTTTTTCTAAGTAGGTAGCTCCTTGACTCCAAAATCCTCTTCCAAAATCCTTATAAACTTCAAATATTTATTTTTTTACATTTGATAATGCATCAACTTTTTTCTGAAGTCTTGGTTCTCTTTTTTACTATTTCACACACACACACACACACACACACACACACACACACACACACACAGGTTCAACATAGCTATCATTTGTGTAGTGAAAAGTTAGCTATCATTTATACATGAAAACTTTACAAGTGGAGGGTTGCACTCTGATTTCTTGATCAGAGTTAAACCAAGAACCACCGCATGACACTGAGAGGACAATTTATTTGTAGGAACATAAAACTTCTCATGAAGTAGATCACTGGCCTTTGAACCCAGATTTTCGGTGATTCAGTACTTTTTCATAGGATCCAGTTACAGATTCTAAAGTGGTAGATTTATAATTTGCATGCCTCTATCATGTCTTTGCTCATTATGTCTTATTCTGAGGGAGCTGGCCTGTTCAGTTACTGGGTTGTCTTTTTGATATGTCAAAGAAATAATATACAAAAACCAAAGTTAAGGAGGCATTCTCAGCTTCCTTGCCGGGTTTTTTTTTTTTTTTTGGTGCAATTCTTATTTCATAATTTCCTTTGTTGAACTTAAGAGGAAGCAGTTCTTGAGGTGGAAGGAAGCTTGAGTTCAATATCTGTACCAAAATGCCTGTAGAAAGATAACCTGATAAGGGAACATGTGTGTATGTAATATTTTGTGTCTTAAAAAGTACATTAAAATGTTAGTTTTTAAACCTCTTGTCACCATATTCCAACCTATCATATAGACTGTTTTTCTTGATTGTTACAAGTCAACAAGATTTATTTTGACTGTATTAGGATTTACTTTTTCCTTGAGATAATTATGCCATTATAATTATATAAGTTAGAGCTACTGTGGGGAGCCTTGATACCCTGGTCATCTCAGGCCTCTGAAATGATGATGACACTGCTGTTGTGTTATGTCTTGTAGAAATGGGATTAATGTAGCATTGCTACTCTCTTTACGTCTCTCTATTCTGACAACTCTTTTTTTTTTTTTTTTGCGGTACGTGGGCCTCTCACTGTTCTGGCCTCTCCCATTGCGGAGCACAGGCTTTGGACGCGCAGGCTCAGCGGCCATAGCTCACGGGCCCAGCCGCTCCGCAGCATGTGGGATCTTCCCGGACCGGGGCACGAACCCGTGTCCCCTGCATCGGCAGGCGGACTCTCAACCACTGCGCCACCAGGGAAGCCCTATTCTGACAACTCTTTAAAAGAGATGTCTGCCGAGACTTCTAAGCTCTTCCTTATCTTCAGGGAATAGAAATCCCTTTCAGGAGTCCATAGCTAGCTCCCAGACCCCTGGGTGGGTAGCATATGCATCCTGCTGATAGGATAGCAGGGGAAAAGCCATGAGACTACAGAGAGGTTTTATTTTTATATGAGTTGAAGGCAGATAGTAGTGGAAAATAACCATAGTTAGCACTCAGGAATATTTGTTATGAAGTATGTAATAAACTATGTGTTTAATAGAGAAATTTGATCATTCCACAAGTCACCTGAAGTCTCTAAAGACTGAGAAATAACCATATTTTAGCATGGGCATTATAAAAGAATATAGTAAATACAGCCTCAGTATTATTGGGGGCCAGACTATGAAAGCTGGTGAAAGACAGCCTGGTGGAAGAAAGTTCCTGTGATGTGCTGACCCATCAGACCACCTGCGGACCCTAAATCATGTTACTTGATTATTAATGGCGGAGCGAGAAAATCACTGGGCTGGAAATCAGGAGATGTGGACAGTAGTGAGGCTTTACCTCTGGGATCTTGGAGAAAACTGGCTCCCAGCTCCTCACATCTTGTGACTAGCGCTGAGCATTTCTGCAGGCCTGTTAAGGCGAGTGCGTGCATGCGTGCTCAGCGTCACTTCCAAGAAGGATGCCACGGCCTCTCCCACTTGCAGGTGTTAGTTACCTTTGCTCTGTTAACTCTACATGAGATAACCAAGGTCTTAGTAGATTGACAAATCTGTGCCTCTCCTTTGGATAAACAAATTTGACAAGGTAAAATGCGTCTGCCTGCCCCTTAGTGGTAAAGAGAAATTTAGGACCCTGGTGATGATCACAACATCCAGCAGACTGAAGAAAGCCGGAATTCATTGCCATTCAAATTGTTTGTTTACACATCGAGCGTTTATTGAGCTTCTGCTGTGTATCCAGAATGTTAAGAGTTGCTTTGAGAGTATGTAGTCTACGTAAGTGAAATAGCAAAGAGAGACAGGTGGGTGTGAGATGTGTGCCCAGGCGCTAGTCAGTGCCTCTGGAGGAACTGTGGAACTGATGATGACTCATGTGGTGGTGTAGTTAGGAGGATGAGGCCCCCTGGAAAAGTTAGTGTGCTGATTCTGAAAGTAGTAAAGTGGATGGGTGGACAAGAGGTAGGGGATGTTCTTCAAGTTGGGACAGTTTGAAGGAGTGGTGAGGCCAAGAGATCGAGTTAGATGAGTGTGTGAGAGAAGGGCTATGCTTGGTGGAAAAGCATAAATACCAGAAGAAGGGTTAAAGGATAATATTTACGCTATTTTTATAAATAATGACCTAATTTGGAGAGTCTGCATACAGTCCCTTGGCATGTTTTGTATAAACTTAAATCAGATGACCTCACTAAGTCCTTTTGGAGAGGAGGAAACATCCCTCCCGACCTTTCTCTCCTTTTGTCATAGTATGACGCGTAATTTAAAAAACAGAACAGAAAACCTTGCTAGGACCGGGTTTGATAATCTGAATGGGGGATTCTCAACGACAAGTTTGGATGAACATTTTTAAATGTATTTTGTGTTCTAGTCAAAGTTTTTGTGCCTGGAACTGCCTTTCTGTCTGCATCTCAGATGGTTCCTCCTGTGTTGTTTCTAAGGGGTGGTGGGTGGCAGGGTGTTTCCTTTTACAGAGGGTACAAGCAAAAGAGACTTGATTCATTTTCCTTTCCTGACACACACACTTTTGTTGACACCAGAAATTCTTATAACATCGTTTGTTTGATTATGTTCAGTATCAGGGTAAATTTGCTTCTTTTAACAAAAATTGTGCGGTTGCTCGAGGTGGGAGAGAGACAAGAGCCTAGAGTGTTGGGCTGTCCGAGCCCTGACTGCCCAGCTCCTGCAGACACATACGTCGCAGCTTCCTTTGCAGAGTGTCAAGGACAGAGAAGAAGGAGGGCCCCACACAATGGGGACCAGTGTGCACTCACAGGCTTCATTCTCCACGAGTAACCTCAGCAAAGTGGAGCAACCTCAGCAAAGTGTCTTTTTAGTCATTGTTATCAATTTGAACTTTTGAGGCCTGATATGTAACTTAAAACTGGCATATAATTTTCAAGTGTTCACTTGGGGCTTGTATGTGCTTTAGAAAAGACCACACTTTTATTCCCTTACCTCTGTGTTGGTATTTTCCAGGTTTTGGACACGAAGCAAGTATTGCTCTTTATTTTAAAAGTTTTATTGAAGTGTAATTGACATATAATAAATTGCACATAGTTAAAGCCTGCAATTTAATGAGTTTTCACATAGCTATCCAACACTGAAACCATCACCACAGTCAAGCAGTGAACCTACCTGTTGCTCCCCAAAGTTTTGCCATGCCTCTCTGTATCCCCTCCCCGATACTGCTCTCTGCTCCCACCCCCAGGCAACCACTCATCTGCTTTCGGTCACTGTGTATTAGTTTGTGCTCCCTAAAATTTTCTACAATTAGACTCACAGAGTGTATACTATTTTTTTTTTTTTTTGGTAAAGATTCTTACACTCAGCATATTTACTCTGAGATTCATACACGAAGTGAGTACCAGAGCCCATTGAAATAATTCATACCAGCCAATTCTAAACCTGCTCGTGCTGAGTCACCTTGTCCTTTCTGTGGAAACCACAGGAAAGGCTCTGGTGCATGCCTTCTCCTTGCTCCTTCAGCCTCCTGACCGACCCCAGTGCAGGCTCAGGTGGCCCTGTGCGGTGCGCGTGGCACGCCCTCTTATCTCGGGCGTTGTGAATAAGAAACTATCTTTTCAGTGACAGTGGTCTCCTGATCTGGTGGCCTCACTGTTCTTTAATAATAAAACCTACATTTTAAAACACTTTGGGGAAACTACTATTTGTCATTTCTTTTACTCATATCCAAACAAGAATACATTATTTTTTCTTTTTACATGGGTAGTAGCATACTGTATACAGTGATAAACATCTTGGGTTTTTCCCTTAACAGTATTATTAGTATTAGAGGCTGTGCCTTAGAAAAATTACCACAGTATTATAAGAATATAGGTACATATCCATGTACCTGTCACCACCCATTTCACCGATCCACTGATTTTATATTGTCTAGTAAATTTTTTTTTTTATCTTCTCATTCATTGAGGTAGATCTTCCTGTGTGGGAACAAATACTCT